CACAGGGCAAGGGTCCCAAGACTTTGGGCCATCCCTCAAGTGCTTTCCAGGGCACAAGCGGGGAGTTGGAGGAGAACTGGATCAGCTGGGACATGAACCTGAACCTGTATGTGATCATGACCCACAAGACAGTATCTTTATTTTAATCTTTTTCAAAAACAGAAGAAAGAGCCTGGTGCAATGCCTCTGTGACTAAATACTTTGCATGTGCCTGGATCCTGTGTGGGATGAAAAATAAAGTATCAAAAAATAAAATAATAATAGTATAATGATAATGACAGTGACGTTTCTGGTCCAGGTTCTGGCTACTCCATACTTCTAACCCAGCCTCTGACTGATGTGCATTCTTGGAGGCAGCAGGTGATGGTTCAGTACTTGGGCTGGAGCTCTTGATTCCTCCTTTCAGTGGAGCCAACCCTGGCTAATCAAAGCCGTTTGAGGAGCAAAAGATCCATTGATCTACTGTCTATCTAATCTATTGTTCTCTCTGTTTCTGTCTCTTGGCTCTTCCAACTCATCATTCTGCCTTTCAAATAAATAAACACATTTTTTTTTTTAAAAAGCATAATGTGGCCCTAATTACCTCCTAAATCACACAACTAGGTTAGGCACAAGATCAGTTAGGGCCTGCAAGCAAGACTCACATTTGGATAGATGCATCTAGAGGTTGAAAACTGTGCTTTTGTTTCTCTTCCTGTGCCTGGCTCATAAAGATAACTCAATAAACACTGAATTGAGTCACCCCAATGGATATTATACAGTGATGCTAGGGTTTGAATGTATGTGTCCTTGCAAAATACATATGTTGAAACCTGCTTAAATGCCAAGTGATGGAATAAAAAGACAGAGCTTGGAGAGGTGATTATTGTCCTATTAAAGAGCACTTTCGAGAGCTGCCTGTCTAGTCCTTCCCTCTCTTATGCTATGAAAAAAACATGGCACTAGTCTATGGCCATACCACCCTGAACACGCCCGATCTCGCCTGATCTCGGAAAAGACATGGCACTAGTCCACTTTCGTCTCCTTCTACCATGTTATGATGCAGAAGACGCTGAATTTGCAGGCATCCTGCTCATGGACGTCCTCCAAAACTGTAAGCTATAGATGTCTGACCTGAACTAGTTATTCAGTCTTAGGGAGTTTGTTACAGCAGCACAAATGGACCAAGACAAATGAATGCTGCCTTATTTTTTTTTTTTAAGATTTATTTATTTTTATTCACTCCCCAAGTGGCTGCAACAGCCAGAGCTGAGCCCATCCAAACCCAGGAGCCAGGAGCTACTTTGGATGTCCTGTGTTGGGTGCAGGGTCCCAAGGCTTTGGGCCATCTTCAACTGCTTTCCCAGGCCACAAGCAAGGAGCTGAATGGGAAGTGGGGCTGCTGGGATTAGAACCAGCGCTCATATGGAATCCTGGCACGTGGGAGGACTTTAGCTGCTAGGCTACTGCACTGGGCCCAACACTGCCTTCCTAAGGCTAAGAAAACCCTGTGGATTTTTAAACCTTTGCATTTATCAATTTGCAGAGTTTTGAAATCACAAGATTAAGCAGACATATTTGCTCATGAATAAATACATGTGCCTTTTGACCATATCTCAGACTTTAATATATCTCATGATTTATGATATCAGCATAACATCCTACCAGTAAATATAGTTTCATGTATAATGAAATTTTTAAATCCATCAATTCATTTCACCTCTCACTATGCTAAGAACTGAGAACATAGAGGCAAAGAAGCTACAGAAGTCACTGCCCTTGAGATCATGGCCGACTTGATTCACCCTTCCACAGAAGGTGAGCAGAAAGTACCACAGTAGTACAGGAGGTTCCAACTTATCAGAATAGAAATGATTTCCCATAAAGGCTCGTGTGCACTGTGGATGCAACAATGGTTATCATAGCAGAGATATTAAGACGGCTTTCCTATTGTTCATCATATCACATTCCTTCCAAAAGCCTGGCCCCATTGGTGCTTAGAGCAGAGTTCTTAAGTAGAGGCCAGTTTTGCACACATGCACACATACACACACACACACACACACACACACACACACACACACACTCACACACTCACACACACCAGAGCACGTTTGGCAAATTGCTGGAGACATTTTTAATTGACACCCTTCCTGAGAGAAGCACTGGGAACATCAAAAAGCCAGTGATGCTGTTAAAATCCGACAGTGTAGAAGACAGGCCCTCACAAAGCATTATCTAGACCAAAATATCAGTAGAACTGAGATAGAAAAATTATGACCTTGAGGAATCAGATCTGACCTCTCCCAGGTGGAATTCAAGGTTTGGACCAATTTGGCTCTGTTCTACATTTCTGCTTTATCTTTTTCTTCTTTGTTTTCTGGATCTTCTGTCTTCCCAGGAACCTTATGTTTCAAACCTACGTGACTTGAAGAAAGTTAAGAGTCGTAAAGCACTTGGAGTCCAAAGTCTGGCAGCTCCTGCTGTGTGAATCCAAGCTTGACTATTTGTAAATCGTGTATGTGTGCCTGGACAAGTTAGCCTCCATCTGTAATGGGAAGAGCAATGCTTATTGCTATTGTGAGGACTATGAGACAAGGCAAGCAGTTTTGCATGCTACCTGGTGCATCCCTCTACCCTGAGCTCTTGCTGGGCTCGCCTTTCTTTACTAGCACCAATCCCAGGCTTCCTTGTTGCTCCATGTTTGAGCATTTCATGTAATTCTCAGCCAATCTTTCCTTCCACTTACAAAGATCTCATCTGGCTGTGTGGTGTAAAATGATACATGACCCCCAAATTTATAGTTCACTTCTGTGAATTTCAGGTTTATATGTTTTAATTGCCTTGATGTTCCTGATTGTCTATCAACCTCTCCAACTTAGTATCATCAAAGTGAGCTTTAAAAAAAAAAATCAACTGGGCCCAGTGGCGTGGCCTAGCAGCTTGAGTCCTCGCCTTGAACGCGCCAGGATCCCATATGGGTGCCGGTTCTAATCCCGGCAGCTCCACTTCCCATCCAGCTCCCTGCTTGTGGCCTGGGAAAGCAGTGGAGGGTGGCCCAAAGCCTTGGGACCTGCACCCATGTGGGATCTGCATAGCACTGGCTGTTGCGCTCACTTGGGGAGTGAATCATCGGATGGAAGATCTTCCTCTCTGTCTCTCCTCCTCTCTGTATATCTGACTTTCCAATCAAAATAAAATAAATCTTAAAAAAAAAAAACAACCAAGTGATGTCACTGTTTTCAACGATATCCCATTGTATTGATCCTTCCCATGATCTGTAAGCCATTTGATGTCTTGACTCGACCCCCTTTTCACCCTTATCTCCTGACATTGTCGTCTTTTCTCACAGCATCAAGCTACATTGGCTATCTGATGATCAGACGACATAGATTCATTTGCCTTTTCAGTGCCTTTGCACTTGATGTTGTGTTTGCCTGGAAAAATTATCCTAGAGCAACACGTGGTTTCTCATTCAGGTCTCAACAGCAGTATTATTTCAAGAAGGCCTTTTCTCAGCCTGTTTTCTCTCCTGGACTACAGACTGCTTCATCTCCTCTAAGGAAGTCATTAGCTTGTCTTACTTTTTAGAGTGTGTAACATTCTCTGATGTTTATTTGCCTCTTTTGGGATGCTTGGTCTCCCCCCGATAGAAAGTGAGCTTCATGAAAGCAGAAGATGTGTCAGCCTCATTTTCCACTGAATCTTCAGTACGTACCCCAGTGTCTGGCAGATCGGACCTCAACAGATGGATAATGAATGGATGACTGGTGTGAAATGAAAGTGTGGTAAGAAGATTTGAGTTTTAACTCCTTTTTCATTTCTGAGTGACCCTGGCAAGTCACTCTTTCTCTTTAGAACCTGTTTATTCCTCTGTAAAGTAAGCATAATGGCATCCTCCTCACATATTGGTGTGAGGATTGAGTGATAATGTTACATGATAAGTGCCTGACGCAGTGCTTTGTACACAGCCTAATGTTCAACAGATGCTGGTGCTGAGGTATGTGTTGGGGTGCAATGGCTAACGCCATATTTGCCATGTTTGCATCCCACATTGGAATGCAGGTTTGAGTCTCGGCTATTCCACTTCTGATTCTGCTTCCTGTTAATGTGCCTTGGAAGGCAAAAGATAAAATACTTGAATCTGGGTATCACTAGTCCCCTTACATGGGAGCAACAGATGGAATTCTTAGCTCCTGACTTCCAGCGTGACCCAGCCCCAGCTATTTCAACCATTTGGGGGAATGAACCAGCATATGGAAAAATCTCTGTCACTCTGCCTTTCAAATAAATAAATCTTTGTTTAATGTTGATTTTTTTTTTTCTTTCTTGGAGCCTCATTCTCCACACAGAAGGGGGAATAGCATGGGTTGTATGGCGCTGAGTTGTTGCGGAAATGATAATAACTTGCAATTCTTTCCCCTTTTTGCCTTTGCACTTAGCATTCCCTTTGCTTCTTGCCTGGTTCACTCCAGCGGCACTCCTTCTGGAAACCCTTGCTGAGCTCCTACATGGGTTAGGGCCTTTGTTGGGCGCCCCGGCCCTGGGTGTTTCTGTTGAAATAAGCAGGCATCACAGGCTACTGCTTCTTCCCTGGTTGGGGGAGCGGATGCATGGATGGACTGGTGGAGAGATGACATAAGCAGTTGTGTGAGAGTGCTTTGAACCCAGCTACACCAAAGTTGCCCAAGGCTCACAGAACCCCCCAAGGGCCAGCCTCAGCTGGCCCTGCCACTCCCCTACTCCCTAGGAACCCTGCCTGCAGCTCCCTTAAGATTTGGCTACTTGACTTTCCCACCCCCAGCACCTCAGCCCTTTAACATCTTCCCGTGTGGTCTCCAACCATTGGCTGCAACCTCATTACTGTCCCCTACTCCTCTGAGGCCTCGAATGGGAGGCAACCAGGTGACAGCTGCAGATAATCTTGGCCCCTGCCCCAGGGCCAAAGAAGAGACAGTGACAGTGGAGCGAAGGATCTGGCCAGAGCGCGGTGAGGTTGGACGCGGGAACACAGATGAAAAATGAAGCAGCTGCAGCTACTACCACTGCTGCTGGCCACCTGCACTCTTGGGATGCAGGTGCAGCGCCAGGTCTATCTGCGTGAAGAATTCCTAGATGGGGGTGAGTGGTCTGTTGGGTGGAGGGACACCAAACCACACTTCACAACCTCTTCCTCCTTCCTCTACTTTAGGGGTCAGGCAACTTTCCTATAAGGACAAAGTGCAGTCTGCAAGCTGAGCAAGCCTGGAAGAGCAGGTGACCCACCTGCATTTCCCTTTCTTTCTACCCAATGAGGACAATGAGGGTCTTGGAAAATTAGTTCTGAGAATTAAAGCAATGCAAAGCAGTGCCCTTGGTCTATAGTAGGTGTGCAATAAATGTTCTCTTCTTTCCAACCTGAAAGCATGAACAAGTTAACCCTGGAGGGACGAGTTAGAGCTGTAATTTTGACAGTGAATGTTCCGTGTTTTATGAAACATCAGCGCTTAGTTGGGATTTTGGAGGACATTTGGTCTGATTTCCTCCCTGGATACCTAGGAACAAGCAGAAATTATGGCAAAGTTTACTCACCTAAGGACAGGTGTTCAATGCTGCTGCTTCAGGTACTCCCCTCAAAACGCCTCCCCCACATCGTGTGTGTGTGTGTGTGTGTGTGTGTGTGCGTGTGTGTGCGTGTGTGTGTGTGTGTTGGATATCAAGATGAGTCCATATTCCATCCTAAAACCTAGATCAGCCCTTTCCCCTTTCTGGGACTCAGTTTTCCAATCTGTGATACAGGTATCTGTGTGTTTGAGCATGGTAAGTTGCAGAGTAAAGAATTAGTGAGTCCAGGCAAGGGAATGAGTCAGGAAGGCTTCAGCAGCAGGGTGAATCCCCAGCAATGATTTAAAGGATAGCCAAGAGCTTATAGGACTACGAGAAAGGCATCCCAGCAAAAAGGAATAACATGAACAAAATCCGCAAATTGTTATGATTGAACAGCAAGGTTTCTTCAGGGTGTGCGGGGGGATGGTGGTTAAAATGAACCTCGAGGGCAGGGAGGGGCCGGATCAGAGAGCATGGGGAGGACTCAGGTCTTGGCCTGCTGCTGAAAGCAGTAGGAGGGCCAGTCGAGGTGGCAAGCTGGGACAAACAAACTCCATTCAGGTTTCAGAAAGAGTACTTCGGCGAATGTGTGGCCATGGATTGTGGAGCTGGAGACAGAAAACCGTCTAGGAGGCAGCTGTAGCCTCTTGGTGAGACGTGAAGAAGCTGTACCTGCATAATGGCAATTCAGGGGAGGGGGCAGACACGGGGAATGATTCCGAATTGGCTGATCTACGGGCTATAAGAACCATTCTTGTTCACCAACACTATAGGGGAGCCTTTTTCCAGGGACAGGTGGGTGGTCCGCATTTCCTGATTGCCTTCAGTCATCCTTTACATAGAGCCCCATGAGGCTAAAGCATCTCACTGCTGCCTCTTTGATCCAGATCTGAGCTTAGCTGGCTTCAGCTGTCCCACAATCCCTGGGGCAGAAGGCAGAGAACATGCTCAGGCCTGTCCTCACTTCCCCAAGGACCACACTCCAGTTGCCCCACGCAGCAGAGTGAAACGCCCAAGGGTTTTGGCAGCATGTGTTTCTGAAATGCTCTCTGGAATCAGTGAACAAGTCAGCTCAAGGCCCAAAGCAGTTGACAGGGTCAAAATCAAGATAAAATCCAGTGGCACCTTATGTGCAAGAGAGGCTCTCCACCTGACATCGCCTTGTCCAGGAAGCCTCGTGTAGAGTTGCCCTAGCTTCCTGGGCCTGTTGTTGTCAGCCCTGCCCACACCATAGCTGTCCAAATACCTGGTTCTCTTTTGTGTTTCCCATGTAAAACTCAGTAGCTGGCTAGTGAGGTACCCAATTAAGGACTATGGAGTGATTGAAAAGAACCTGGACACACACCAAAACTATAACATCCCCAAAATAAAACAATTCAAGGGCTGGCGTCTTGATGCAATGAGCTAAGGCACTACTTCCAACACTAACAACCCAAATCCAAGTGCAGGTTTGAGTTCCAGATGTTTTACTTCCCATCCAGTTCCCTGGTAATGTGCTTGGGAAGGCAGCAAATGATAGCCCAAGTGCCTGGACTCCTGATACTCATGTGGGAAACCTGGATGGAGTTCCAGATTCCTGACTTTGACCTGAACCAGCCCTGGCTGTTGCAAACATATCGGGAGTGAATTAGCGGATGGAAGATCCCTCTTTCTCTCTCTCTCTCATACCCATGCGCACGCGCACACACACACACATACACACACACACTTTCTATTCCTCTGCCTTCAAGTAAGTAATTTTTAAATCTTTTATTTATTATTATTGTCATTTTATGATACAGTTCCATAGTCCCTGGGATTTGACTTATCCCCTCCCCAATTGTCCTCACAATGAGTTCCCCATATCAGTACTAAAGTATAGTTCTTCATACACAGTCATATGTCCATCATCCTATTGTCATATAGTGAACAGTTTCACTAGGAGTCTATCTTTGTCTGGAAGTAGAAATGCATACTGCATTGTATCCTCACATCTGTATATGTTACTCTCCATTTCACAGTTACTGTACATCCCCTTAAATGAAAAGTCATAATACAAAATCAATAATAGGAAGAAAAATAGAAATTTACATTGCCATGAAGTTAAATGACATGTTACTAGATATGACAGTCTCCATTACACAGCTACTATACATTCTCTTAAATGAAAAACCACAAAACAAAATCAGCAACATCAGGGAGAAAAAAGAAATTAACAACACCATGAAGTTAAATAACATGCTACTACATGACTAATGTGTTGCTGAAGAAATGAAAAAGTAAATCAAGAACCTTCTTGCAGAAAATGACGCTACCATATGATCTACGAGTCACTGAAAGTGTTTTGAAGAGATAAAACTAACAAGAAAAAAAAAATCAAAATCCACGAGATATAGTTTCCACTGATCTTTGTTGGTGAAATGTATCTCCTGTAGGCAACAAATAGATGGGTTTTATGTTTGATTGAGCTTAAGCCATTGTCATTCAGGGTTAATATGTATGGGTAATAAATTGGTCCTGTCATTTTAGGAATGGGTTGATCATTGATTTAGTCTCCTGTTGTTATTTTACTAGGATGTTCTTCCCATTTGCCTTTGGTTTTGTTGGGCGCTATTCCTTTTCTCTAACAAGAAGAACATCTTTAAGTATCCTTTGTAGGGCAGGTTTGAAAGAGGCAAATTCTTTTAGCTTTTGTTTACTCTGGAAGAATTTTATTTCATTTTCAAAGACAAAAGAAAGTTTTGCTGGATATGTTATCCAAGGCCGACAATTTTTTTCTTTTAGAATCTGGAATATGTCACTCCATTCTCTTGTTGCCTGTAGAGTTTCCTGTGAGAGATCTCCTGTGAGCTTAATTGACATTTCTTTGTATGTCAGTAGATTTTTTTCATGTGCACATCTAAGGATCTTTTCCTTAGGTTTGGTTGAAGAGAGCTTGATTTTCATATGTCTTGCTGAAGATCGCTTTTGATCAAGTAATTTTTTTCTCCTAAAGAATCTTACTGGACGGAAGAACGTTCATGGGAAATGCACATTGTTTTTTTTTTAAAAAAAAGCAGAGATTTCAAGAAATTGCATAAAAATAAATGTATCTTTCCATGCCATTTTCCCCTTACATTTTGCAGTTCCATTGTAATTGTTAAGGGCAAGAGCTTATCCTAGAGGAAGCAACTCTAATTGTAGTTATTGGGCTAAGAGGAGAGACATTAAGAGACCCATGCTGAGAGTTTGATTTTGCTCAGGTTGAGCAGTGTTGTGAAGTGGAGTCCCCAGGGCTCTGAGATTTATCTTCAGCTGAGAAGATCCAGGAATCTGATATTGTTTATGTACTTCAAACCAGGAGGGGATGCAGCTGAGTTGTTCTACCCACTCTCACATAAACAGATACATTAATAAGATGCTAATACATTCATGAGCATCTTAGACTTCACCTGTCTCAGGCAACACTTTTGTGTTACAGCTGAGGTTTCTCTCTCTCTCTTGGTCTTCATCTTAGAAAGTGGCCCAAGCATTCTCCTGGTTTATCAGATTTGGAAAAAAAAATCTAGGAGTTATTTTTGATTCCTTTGTTTTCTTCTCCTACATCTAACCTGTTAGCAAGTTTAGTTGATGCCACCTTCACAATATGTGCCAAACATGGTATGTTACAACTCTCCTATCACCACTTTCCAAGTCTCTCATGGGGACTCTTCCAGTAACTTACTTGAATAGCCTCTTCTGCTTCTGCTTCCTTCTAGTCATTTCTTCCATAAACTTTGGGATGATCTTTTTGAAGTGTAAATAGAACAGCATCATGCTGGAAATTTAAAACGTCTGTTGCCTTCCTGTTCAATTGAAAATGAAATCTAACTTCCTTATCACTCCGTAGAAGAACCTCTATGAGCTGTTCCCTGCTTACCTCTCTATTCTTACTCCCTACTCATTTATTACATCCCAGTGGCTTTCTAGATCTTTCTCAGATACCTCAAGTTCAGTTTCCTCCCAGGACCTTTTCTTCTTTTGGATCCCCAACATGTTTTTCTCCTTCTCATCATTCAGTTTTCTGCTTAAATGTTACCTCAAAGGGGCTCCTCTTGTTCAGTTGTCAAAAATTATTCCCCCATTTTTCAATTATACTGTATCTTTTTATGTGATTTAATTGTTTGGAGATGTAACTTGTATACAGTAAAATGCACCCATGTAGACTATATCACAAGGCAGGCGTTTTGCATGGTGGTTAAGCTATTGCCTGAGAAATCTGCATCCCATATCGGAATGCTTGGATTCCACTCCCAGCTCCATTCTGATTCTAGTTTCCTGCTTGTGTTCACCCTGGGAGGCACCAGGTGATAGTTCAGGTACTTTGGTCTCTGCCACAGCCCCTACCAGCCACCAAGAAACCTAGATTGAGTTCTGAGCTGTTGGCCTGACACAGCCTCAGGTTTTCTGAGCATTTGGCAAATGAATCAGCAAAGGGAAGATTTGTCTTTCTCTGTCTCTCTACCCTTCAAATCAATTAAATAACTAAAAATCTTAAAACAAAGTTACTGCTCCTTGAATTTTGAGAAGTGAATATA